TCCTTCCAAGTAGCTTTGAGAGGCTATTCCAGAACTATTTTTTTCAAGAATCACATTTTCCATCCTGTAATTTTAAATGTCAGAAGTATTTGATGTAAACTAGGAGTTAGAATATGGAATCAGAATTATTTAAAGTTTTCTCAACAGGATCCCTAACCATATCGTAAGAAACATTTGGCATACCAGTTTTATGGGTGAAAACATAATAAGACCAATTAGTTTATATTCATCATAATTAGAGATAATTTAGCTCCAAAGACTGTTGTTTAGATTTGGTGCCAGTGACTACAACCAATGAAGAACAGAAAAGAGATAGTCAGAAATCCACACATCAAATACAGATCTTATTTTTTAGTTCCTCATTATTGCCTCGTTAATTAATGACTGCAAATCTCAGCTCATATATTCAGAGCACAGGAATAGATTCTAGGAGACCTGGCTACTAGTTTGACTCTGCCACTAATTCTGTGGATTTAGTTGAGATGCTGCTTCTTCTTTCTTTGGCCACACAGCTTGTGGAAGCTCTGTTCCCAGACCAGGGATTGAAACACAGCCATGGCAGTGGAAGCCCAGAATCCTAACCACTAGGCCACCAGGGAACTCCCCGAGATGCTTCTTCTTTATTTGCATTTTCCCATCTGTTAATAATGCACCGTCTTTATCAACTCCTTGGTTGCACCAGTCACATTTCAATAGTCATGGTGTATCTAGTGGCTGCCATATTGGACAGTGCAAATCCTGAAACATTTCTATCTTTGCAGGAAATTCTGTTGGACAGTGCTGGGCCTAGAGGTATACTTTTCAAGTATAGCTGAATTTGGGTGTTTGAACAAAGCCTTCGGGACTCTTGCTTCTTTCTATCTTTCAACTATTTTTTCTATTGTGTTGGCTCCATTCTCAGTCCAGCAAGATGGCCATAGCAGCTGTAACCTCACCTCTTAACAAGTTTAAGTTCAACATGAAAGAGATTCTCTGCCCAAGAGATCCTCTACAAATGCTGGAATCGGGCTGATTGGACCAGCTCAGATCACAAGGAAGTCTCTGATTGGCTTAGGCTTAGCCATGTGCTCTAGTCCTGGACCCTGCAGCATCAATGAAACACAAATGAGCGGAAAGCATAAAACAAGCTGACAGAGGAGCAGATATAGCAGTTTTGAGAAACACAAGCAAATACAAAGTCTTAAAATATGTTTCTACAAAGTACCAAACAATATACTACAAACAACAAAAAACACCAAAAATGAAATTACTTAAAGGTGTAAGAAAAAAAAGATGGGCAAAGATTAGTCATGCAGACAAAAGAAGACAGGGAGTGGCAATATTAATTTCAGATAAGATAAATTTCAAGGCAAAAGCATTAGATAAGACAGAGTGTCATTTTAGATAAAAGATACAATCTACAAGGAAGATGTAGCAGTCAGAAACCTGGGTAAGCCCAAGTACATGAATGTAAAACATATAAAACAACTCCCGCTGGAAACATAAGGAGAAATTGACAAATACCCAAATGTCATAGAGGTTAACAAACCTCCGTCAGTCTTTGACAGATCAAGTAGACAAAGTAAATAAGGATTTAAAGAGCAGGGATATAATTTGAAAGTTGAATTAATAGATATAAATTATTTACGATACAGAGAATTGACTTTTTTTTTAAAAGGTGTTCATAGAACAAATACAGTAATCAATCGTATACTTGGATAATAAGAATATGCAAATCTATTTTACAAAGCATAAATTATACACCTTACATTCTCTTATTATATTTTGTAACAGAAATAGAAACGAATAGCAAAACTTTAAACAATGATAAAAAACAATCAAATGCTCCAAACTCAAAAACAAACAAAAAAGCAAATCAAAACATCATCCTTAATGACTTTCAGGTTTAATAGTATTTTTAGCTCATTCTTTTGTTCTCAAGGAACAGAGAGTCATGTAATTTATCTCGGGAAAAGGGGAGCATGTTGCTAAGCTACAGGAACTAGAATAGGAGCAGAAGTGCCATCAGAACCCAGCTCCCTGCTTCTCTCTCTTAGGGGGCATCGATGTCTCCCCCACCTCTTTCCTCCTGCCCTTGACGCCAACTCCTGTTATAGGTACTGAAGAGAGTAATCAGGTTAATGTCAAAGTATAATGTGCTGCATTTCTTATCTCAAATGCATACATAGATCTGCTTTCAGGTTTTTGTGTGTGACTAGGTTAGGGTAAATCAGCATCCTTGTGTCCAGGAAACCCCAAGGCAGGGACAAAGTGGAGTTTCCGTGCCCTCAAGAATGGGCCCGACCCTGGACAGCAGGAGCCAACCCTCTAGGCAACTACTGGCCTTTCATGGCTGCACCAAGAGAAACAGGCACGCCATGCAGTTCTAACTTCTATCACAGGGACGTTTAACTATAGATGGCTAAATTGTAAAAATAAGTTTTAATCCTTAAAGACATAAGCTTGAGTTACCTTGAAAATAACCTTCCAGGTTGTTGTATTCCCTTTAATGTCAAGTAAAGGATGTATTATTGTGTTTTGCAAGGTTGAATGTGGAAAGTAGAAGGAAAAAATAACTGATTTCTATGGTGACGCTCACAAGAATTTTTACCTCTTCTTTCCTGTTGTGATATAAAAATCCCGCAAATTGCTATTCTAAGTGTCAGCCCATCACTGGGCCAATGAAGGTCTGAGATATATTCCATGGCCTTCCTTACGCGTCTAAGGCTTAATGGGAAGAGTGAGAGAGGGTGCTGTCCGGGTTCCCTCGTTGCAATGACAGCATTTGCCACTGGGTGGCAGTGATCAGTGTAGACCTGCCGAAGGAATCAATCACAAACTCCTGTGATTTATCTTCTGAATCGTGGAAATCTAATGTTATAAATATGCGGTATCCACTCGTGTGAGTTACAGTGGACGAATGGACCAGTAATGGGCTTCCTTACAGAACCGAAATATGTGAAATCTAATCAAAATAATCAGGAAGCAGCAGATCCTAGATTATAGGATCTGCTTTTCAAATAATTTTTTTTCAAATCAATATCCATTATCACCAGTTATGTTTCAGCAAATATTTCTTGAGGGGTTATGTGCAGCTCCTGAGGAGTGACAGATCTGTGTGTTTGAGGGATTACTCGGAATCACGGAGGATGACTTGGTGAGATCTATCGCAGGTGAGGGGATTGGCTGGAAAAGTATTGCAGTTCTGCTGAAGATGAGGCCTGCAGGTGGAGTAAGGTTGCAGGTAGGGTTGGAAGAAAGTTAAAGTGATAAAATTTGGTGATTTACTCATGAGGGGAGATAGGGGTCTGGAAAAAACCTAATGTCTCTCTTGCTTTGGCTTAGTTAGTTTCATTAACCGAGCTAGGGCTTGGAAGGAAATTATAATAGCTCACATTCTAAGTGAGATCTAGCCACTAACGGAATACACGAGCAGTGTGTATTATAAACTATTAGAATTAAGTGAAGGAAAAAGTCTACCCCAGTAGACTGTTGGTAGGCTGAATAATAGCCCCCCAATTATGTCCCTGTGCTAATCCCCAGAATCTGTCATTTCACATGGCAAAGGGACATTGCAGATGTGATTAAAGATCTTGAGACTGAGAGAGTATTTTGGATTATCCTAGTGGGTCCGGTGCAATCACAGGGTCCTTATAAGAGGGAGGTAGGAAGGTCAGAGTAAGAGAAGGTGATGTGACAACAGAAGCCGAGATTGGAGTGATGTGGGGCAATGGGTCAAGCAATTCGGGTAACCTTTAGAGGTTGGAAAAGCAAAGAAGGTGTTCTCCCTTAGATTCTCTGAAGGAATACAGCCCTGACAGCCCATTTTGAAATTTTGACCTTCAAAACCATAAGATAATAGGTCTGTGATGCTTTAAGTCACCAGATTTGTGGTGATTTGTTACAAGAGCAGTGAGAAACTGGCACATCCACTTACGTTGTTCCTCTACTTCTTCCATCTTTCCTTCACTTTCTCAACAAATATTCATGGAGTGCCTACTATGTGCTGACCTCTGTGAGGTTCATCGATGAACAAGATACTGGCCCTGGCTTATAGGAGTTTATAGTGTAGAGGGGATTATGATCATAGAAGTACTCCAATTTATAGTACCATGAATTTCTGGACCTGTAGATGTTGAAGAAACTATCAGTCCTTACTTATAGATGAATCCTTGTTCTACAACACTTCCGTCTTCATTCTTTACTGACTCTAGTTGCTAGTAACATCTTGAAAATTCAACAAATATAGTAAGTCCCCTACATACAAATGAGTTCTGTTCTAAGATCGCGTTTGGAAGTCCAATTAAGTTAGCCTAGGTACCCAAGTAACACAAGCGGCTACATAGTACTATATGTAATAGGTTTAGAATACTTTTCACACAAACAATACATAAAAAACAAACACAAAAAATAAAGAAAACATTTTAAATCTTACAGTGCAGTGCCTTGAAAAGGACAGTAGTCCAGTACAACAGCCGGCACACAGGGGCTGGCATCGAGTGAACAGGCAAGAAGAGTTACTGAGTGGAGGAGGGAGGGGAGGTGGGAGATGGTAGAGCTGAAGGATCGCCAGCAACAGGAGACGGAGGCCAAGCTGCAGTTTCACTCACGCCTGATGTTGATGGAACGCATGTTCGCATCTTTGAAAGTTCGCAACTTGAAGGTTTGTATGTAGGGGACTTACTGTAACGTATGCTAGAAATCTTATGGCAGATATATATTTAAAAACATTTCCAGCAGCTACCCCATTACTTGTGTGTCCAATTCTTCGATCATCTATTTTGTGAAACTCTCTTATTTTGCCTCCACCATGATCCATCGTTTCAGGCTCCATAGTGTCTGCTGATGGACGATGCTCATAGATGGCAGGCATGGAAGATCCAGGGGAGCTGAGCCTCTGCCTGGGCCAGGGCCATGGATACGGTCATGGCTGGAAATGTAGGAGATGGGGAAAGAGTGCTCAAGAGTGCTAGAAGGAGTACTTTGTGGCCGAGAGATGAGACCCTCACTTGCCAAAGGCCTGCTTCGTGAAACCAGCTACAGTCTGGCTGGGGGCTCACCTGCCTTGGGTGGGCCCTGGCCTTACCTACAGAATGTTGGTTTAGTCCTGTCCTCAAGACCGAGTGAGGTAAGTAAGGCTGAGATGCTGTGTCCCACCTGGGCGTGGTCTTCCTATTATTATTGATTAAGGCTTGATTCAGAGATGGTAAAACAAGGTTCTCAACCAACAGCATTGCAGGCTCCATGGGATTTGTCAGCAGCTTGCTATTAAGAAACAATCCAGGCTAAAATTGCCCCAGTTACTAACTCATTTACTGAAACAGGGAATGATTATTTTAAACTTTGCAATTCTTAGGCATAGGGGTTTCTTAAAGTGATAAAATAACCCATTGGTGAGACTAATACGGGGATCTTTGCTTGTTAAGAGGAAGACCCAAAGGTATCAGGTTGGAGCTATTGATTTTCCTAATTAAGCAAGTGACTGAAGGGTGGAGAGGAAAGAGAGAGAGAGAAAGAGAGACAGAGAGAAGCCAAGCACCAAGCTTTTACATTCTAGTCTTTAATACTGGAAAATTTAATTAATTCAACAAACATTACTTGACCATCATGTGCCAGACGCTGTACCTTGGGGTTTACAGTTTAAAAAAAAATCCCTGTCTTTGGAAATCTTGCTTCTTTTAACAAGGAGAAGATTTCTGCAAAGAAAACTGATAGAATGTTAGGAAACTACATTATATCCAGGATGCTTTTTGTTTTTGTTTTTATTTCTTTTTCTGCGGTACGCGGGCCTCTCACTGTTGTGGCCTCTCCCGTTGCGGAGCACAGGCTCCGGACGTGCAGGCTCGGTGGCCATGGCTCACGGGCCCAGCCGCTCCGCGGCATGTGGGATCTTCCCGGACCGGGGCACGAACCCGTGTCCCCTGCATTGGCAGGCGGACTCTCAACCACTGCGCCACCAGGGAAGCCCCAAGATGCTTTTTATTCAAGGGGGCTGGGGTCCTTCTATACAACTCATTCTATACTCCTTGGCTTGGCAGGTGAGATGTGCCTTAGTCCCAGCCTCAGACATCCTTTCATTTTTATTTCTTGCTACTCCTCCCTCCCATAGCTTCATTTCTCAGCTACGCCAATGATTCTCATCCTTTTCCAACTCCATGCTTCCCTTTTCTTGATAAAATATATATTGAAATGCCCTCTTTACTATCTCGAAATGAGATTCACAAATAATATAACCTACTTATAAACTTAAAAAACCCTACTTACATTTAAACTTAAAGAAAAAAAACCAATATAATGCAGTACAGTAATTTGGCTGAGGGCGTGAGGCCTGGAGCCAGCTTGCCCAGGTTTGAAACCGGGCTCTGCCATGGTACCTTGGGCAAGTTACTTGACCTCTCTGTGCCTTAGTTTCTCATCTCTGAGATGGGGGTAAGAATACCTGTCTCAAGGAGTTATTGTGAGGATCGAGAGAGTCATCTGCACAGCTCATAGAATACGTCTGGCACACAATAAGCTCTCTATTAATTCTTCATGTCCTAAATGAGATATGAAGAAGAAATAAAAGTGGTTTACAATAAAATAATATGTATTTTAATATATAAATGCTCAGACATGATCATACTAGGAAAACAAAAGAAATAGTCAGACCCTTGCTCCAATTTATAAGGAATAAGTTTTTTTTTTTTACATCTTTATTGGAGTATAATTGCTTTACAATGGTGTGTTAGTTTCTGCTTTATAACAAAGTGAATCAGTTATACATATACATATGTTCCCATATCTCTTCCCTCTTGCGTCTCCCAAGGAATAAGTTTTGATTTAGTTAAGTAAGATGATACTCAACTAAATACTGTTGATACTTTAAAAGGATATTTAGCTTTTGAAGAATACCTAGCTAACCATATTCACACACATATGTCAAAACACTGTGAATGTCACAGCTACTAATACAGGTGGATATAAGACTGATTCCATAAGCAGGCCTTCCAGTGCTATTTTGGTTTTTTGAAATGGTGAATGGTTCTTCATAAAGTTCCAAACAAAACAAATTTACAAGATAAATTTGGAAGTAATGATATTTTAATGTTAAATATTAATATCCAAATATTAATATTAGATATTAATATAATGTTAAACATTTAATATTTTAATATTAAAGCCATGCAAAAAATTCTTTGCTTCTAGACTCAGGAAGGTAAAACCTGTATACTACTCATATTTACGAATATCTGGCAGGACACGAAGTTGGGTGGGACATAGGATAATTCTTTGTTATGAGGCTTCGCTTTGGTTTTGAGCAGCATCAAACTCTTGCCATGAAACCCACCCCCAGCCCAACTCAATGCCAGAAACAACTCTCAATCCCTGTAACAAACAAAAGCCCTTATAAATCTCCAAAATGTCCCTTAGGCGGCTGTAGGAGCTCAGTGAGAACCACCAAGCTGGTCGTCAACGTGCCAACCTCCTGAAGCTTCTCTCTCTGCATAGATGGTCATCCCCTGCCCCATCTCCCCTGTTGATACTTCATCTGTGCCTCAAGGATCAGAGACTATGCTGTGTCCTGTGCGAATTTGGCTCAGGGAGATCCAACCAGATTCTTTTCCTCCGTCTCTGACCTTTCATAGTCCTTCTATTTGGCCCCAGTCCTATGCTGTCTCCTGTCCTCCTTTTCCTCCTAAGTCTCTGAGTTCTCCTCCTGCCCAGGCTTCAGAACCCTCAGGTTCTAGCACTCAAGAAACATATTCCAGGGCTTCCCTGGTGACGCAGTGGTTGAGAGTCCGCCTGCCGATGCAGGGGACACGGGTTCGTGCCCCGGTCCGGGAAGATCCCACACGCCGCGGAGCGGCTGGGCCCGTGAGCCATGGCCGCTGCGCCTGCGCGTCCGGAGCCTGTGCTCCGCAACGGGAGAGGGCACAACAGTGAGAGGCCTGCGTACCGCAAAAAAAACCACCAAAACACATATTCCATAAATACATTGAATAGTATTTAATATTAATAATAGTAATAAATAGTAAATAAGGTGAAGGTTATTATACTGATTAGTGGAAAATATTGAAAAGATGCTTCAGGTCAGGCAGAAATTAGAGAGGATGTCATATGTTTTGGACATATGTATATTCTTTTAAAAAAAAATCTTGAGTATTGATGTACTTTCATGTATAACTAACATTTTCACTTCACTGATTTGCAGTGGCTGAGGCTCAGGAAGCTGAGTTATTTGTATGTATGTTTTACCAATACCGTCCCAAATCAGGAACACAGCTGTGTGCTGTGTTCAAAGTGTGAGCTTGAAACGATTCGCCTGCTTTTGGGATAGGGTTGATTCTGTCTGAACTGAAGGGATCTGACAAGCTCATATTGGTGATGGTTCACTAGTGAAACTTAAAGGCTGCCTCTCCCAGAGGGATTGACAGCACAAGAGAAGGAGACGGCTTAAAAAGAAAGGAATAAAACTGTAATTATGTCATTTCGAATCAGAGAAAGAGTCAGAGATGCTTTATGGATGGTGTTAGGGTGACTCCTGGCATAGCACAAATCATAGTTTTCCTGAAAGATGGATTATGTTTTTGGATCTTAGAGTGTAAAATTATAGCCCTCACAAGTAAAATATATGTAAGTATCAGTTAGGCACATGGTAGTTTACCGAGGGGCCTATGGGGATACAAATTTAAAAAACAATCCGTCCCTGCTTTCAAAGAGCTGACCGTCCAGTTAGCAGCGAAACTTCCAAGCAGGACAGCTGCATAATTTGCAGGTCCCAGTTCAAAATGAAAATAGGGGAACCCTTGTCCATGGATTATTAGGAATTTTGAAAGGGTGATATTAGAGCATTAAACCAAGTTCAGGGTCTTTCTTTTTTTTTTTGTTTTTGCGGTACGCGGGCCTCTCACTGTTGTGGCCTCTCCCGCTGCGGAGCACAGGCGCCGGACGCGCAGGCTCAGCGGCCATGGCTCACGGGCCCAGCCACTCCGCAGCATGTGGGATCCTCCCGGACCGGGGCACGAACCCGTGTCCCCTGCATCGGCAGGCGGACTCTCAACCACTGCGCCACCAGGGAAGCCCAGTTCAGGGACTTGAGAAGGCACATGTCACATAACATAATCATAATAAAATAGAATTCGAGATTTTGTATATAATACTGTGAGAGCAAAGAGGAGGAAATAGCGCAGTCTGAGGATGGGGAATGCTTTCCCGAGGAAGTGACTCATGGGCTGCACCTTGAAGGACAGACAGCTGGGGTAGCTGGGGTGATCCCGGCAAGGGGAGCTAAGGGAAAAGCATCTTTGCGCTGCTGCAACCTTCTTCCCTCCAACCTGATCACAGGCTTTCCACTTAGCTCTTCTGATTTGAATCCTTCTTGTGATTTCTTTATACTGTATTCATGGTCTTCTTGTTTTGTCAGTTTCAGACATTATCTACTGACCTCAGAGAACAAGCAATGAGAGTTTGGCTCACTTGAGAACAAACACCCTCATCATCTCTTTCCTCCTCCCATTATAATTAAATTTCTATTTTTAGTGCTTCTGTTGGTTACTTGGGTGACTTTCTGAACAATATGCTTACACTTCCTTTCTTGCCTATACAGCATCTCCTGACTGCTCACATTGTCAGTGAGCACCTCAAACTGTGCCCGCCCCTGCCCCCAGCACCATCCACTTCCCCACTTCTCCAGTGCTCTCCAGTGGAAATTCCTGCATTAGTAGAGATGTTCCATGTGCAATATGGTGGCCACTGGACACAAGTGGTCTTGAGCACTTGAAATGCAGCTAGCGTGACCTAGGAACTGGAGTTTTAAACTTCATTTCACCTTAATTAACTAACATTTAAATTTCAATGGTTAGTGGCTATCGTGTTTTACACCCCAGCATATTTTTAAAAAATTAACTTAAATTAATTAATTAATTATACAGCAGGTTCTTATTAGTTATCTATTTTACACATATTTGTGTATATATGTCAATCCCAATCTCCCAATTCATCACACCACCACCACCCCACCCCCGCTTTCCTCCCTTGGTGTCCATACGTTTGTTCTCTACACCTGTGTCTCTATTTCTGCCTTGCAAACCGGTTCATCTGTACCATTTTTCTAGATTCCACATATATGCGTTAATATACGATATTTGTTTTTCTGTTTCTGACTTACTTCACTCTGTATGACAGACTCTGGGTCCATCTACCTCACTACAAATAACTCAGTTTTGTTCCTTTTTATGGCTGAGTAGTATTCCACTGTATATATGTACCACATCTTCTTCATCCATTCATCTGTTGATGGATGGTGCAGCATATTTTAACTTTTATATTGTCAAGGCTTATTTACAGTCTTTTCTAATTTTATATTTTCTCTATACCTTGATTCTTAAAGTTGGGAATCAGTTGTGAGTATTGCATTGTCATGCCTATATAAGTATTACTTATTTTACCACCAAGTAATATAGAGTAATTGAGTTTTAGTTCTTTTACTGTTTTTATTTTTATTTTGGGGTATTCTAACTACTTTTACAATTTGTTTTTTTTTTAAGATTTTTTTTTGATGTGGACCATTTTCAAAGTCTTTATTGAATTTGTTACAATATTGCTTCTGTTTTATATTTTGGTTTTTTTGGCTACAAGGCATGTGGAATCTTAGCTCCCTGACCAGGAGCTAAGACCACACCCCCTGCAGTGTAAGGCGAAGTCTTAACCACTGGATTGCCAGGAAGTCCCTCAATTTACTTTTTTAATTCTCTACCGACCCTTAGCTTACTCCATATTTTCAAGGATAGTACCACACTCTGTGATCCCATGTTTCTCCCCCAAACTTTGCTTTTGGAGCCATTTCCCCTCATGCTTGAGTCTGCTGCATTGCTGTCTATGCCAGCAGCTTTATTGCACCTTTTCACTCCATTCCTAAGCTGGGTCTTCTCTTTCCTGGATTCTACCTCCTCCGTTATCTGGTTTACTCCCTTTTTTCCAAGTAAATTTCTAAGACAGGGTGTGTGGGAGGTCATCTTTCTGCATCAGCTCTTTTGTGCCTGAAAATAGGCATGTTCTGCCTTCATACTTCATTCATAGCTTAGTTCAGGATCAACGAGCTACTGCCCATGGGCCAAATCTAGCTGCTGACTGTTTTCTGTACAGTTCATAAGTTAAGATAGTTTTGACATTTTTAAATGGATGAAAAAAAGTCAGAAGAAGAAGAATATTTTGTGACGCACAAAAATCATACACAATTCAAATTCTGGTGACCATAAATAAAGTTTTATTGGAACACAGTCTTGTTCATTCACTGACATATTGTCTATGGCTGTTTTCAGATTGCAACAGCAGAGGTGAATAGCTGATCTGTGACTACTTATTCTTTAAATATTTACTATCTAACCCTTTACAGAAAAAGCTTGGCAACTCCTGGTTTAGGTGATCAGAGCCAAAACCCAGGTTTCATGACCCCATGTAACCCAACCGTAACTCTGTATGGCTTCCCTTTACCTTCCTGAATACTTCTCCTCTCCTCTGGCCAGACTGGCCTCCTTGCTGTTCTTCTACCCTACCAGTCAGACTCTGGAGCCTCCGGACTTTTGCATTTGCTCATCCCTCTTCTGATCACGCTCTTTCCTCTGATGTCCGCTGGCTCACTCCACTTCTTTCAGATATTTTCTCTGGGATCACCTTCTTTATGAGCCCTTCCCTGGATACCCCATCTAATTTTTAGCCTAATTTTCTCCCTATACTCTGTGCATTTCTTACACTGCTTTATTTTTTTTCCTCCTTAGCACTTATTACTACCTAACACATTAGCTGTGGCTTGTTTTGTGTAGAGAGCACACCATCCTGATTGGGGCAAGAACAGAAGGCTCCTGAGGGCAGGGTTTGCCTTATTGTTCATCCTCTGCTGTATCCCCAGGGCCTGAAATGGTGCTCCAAGATGTTTGCTGAATGAATGAATGTTGTACTCTAGTGTGAAATCAAGCTCCTGCAGAACTTGGGAGGTTTTGCTCACTTGCCTTCTAACCCTCAATTCTACTTCCAGAGAAACCTGGAAACTTTCAGTTTCTTGTTTCTGTGGAAGTGACTTGTTTTCTCTATTTGGGAGATTTTAGGATTTTCTCTTTGTCTTTGGTGTTTGGGAATTTGACCATAACTTGAAATTCTTTCTCCTGGGTACTCAGTGAGACTTTTTTTTTTTTTTTGCGCTACGCGGGCCTCTCACTGTTGCAGCCCCTCCCGTTGCAGAGCACAGGCTCCGGATGCGCAGGCTCAGCGGCCATGGCTCACGGGCCCAGCCGCTCCACGGCATGTGGGATCTTCCCGGACTGGGGCACGAACCCGTGTCCCCTGCATCGGCAGGCGGACTCTCAACCACTCCGCCACCGGGGAAGCCCCACAGTGAGACTTTTTAATCCAAATACTCTTGAACCTCGCTTAACGGAATTCTGTCATGTTATTTCTTTGATGAGATCATTGAGTAACATTTCCTGAAAGATTTACTTGAATTTATCATCCAAGCTTCCATTAGAATCTTTAATTGGCAATCATATTTATAATATCCAAGGGTTCTTTCTTGTTCTCAGATTATTTATCTTTCTTAGCACCCTGTTCTTTTTTTATGGATACAATATCTTCATAAATATGTGTAAGGACACTGATTAGAAGGTTGTTTTCCCACTTTTCTACATTTCGTGGTTACCCAAAAAGGAGATGATGTCATGCCCCAGCACGTGCTGAGTGACACTCTCATACCAGAATTCGGAGTTCTCACTCTGAAGTACCCATATGCACATACATTGCCTGTATTCTCTGTATAATTTCAAACTTTTTAGAGAAGAATCCCCCGTAATATTGCCCAGGGTGGGGTGAAATGGATGCCTGCAGGATTGTGGGTGTTTGCTGTGTAAAGGCTGGGCTGATAGAGATGTTTGACAGAGGGGTATGGGAGGAGGGCTAGGTTCTTACAGACTTTCAGTGAATCTTCCAATTTTCAGCCCCCTCACTTATTTAGATTTTCAAGCTTCTCTTGGCTTTCTGAGTCCTGATTTGCTCAGGGATTCCTCATCACAGGCAGTCCATTTCTCCCATAGTGTCCTTCTTATGGGTGGGATGCTGTGATTCCCCTGCCCTCCTTCATCTCTTACCCCTCCTCTGTCATCCCGTCTGCCGGAAATCTGTTGAGATCTCTCAAGCTCTAATGCGCTTCCTCCATTTTTACTTTTGCTATTGTCGGTTTATATATTTTTTATACTTTTCCTATCATTTTAATGAAATCTTAGGAGGGAGGGAAGGGGGAAAAAAATCTGTGATCAGCCCATCTTGAACTGGAGAGACTTGAAGAGGATTCCACTTCTATAAATCAGGTGATTATGCTTAGAGAATTTAAGTGGCTCCAATTCTAGCCCTACAATTGTAAATTATGTGCCCTTTGAGGATGTCTTTGAAGATGACATCTAAAAGCCTGATGAGAAACGAGGCCCTGCTACTGATGTCACTAAATACTTTTCATATCATCTATTACTTTTGGGGGCTATCTAACGCAAACCACTAGAGGACAACTCAACACAGGGATAAGAGGAGGCAGAACTGCCCAGAAAGAGAAGTTCTACAAACAAGAAGCCACTGGGAGAACTTTCATTTTATCCCTGGTCAAAAGGTATAGCATTTTGGGCTTCCCTGGTGGCGCAGTGGTTGAGAGTCCGCCTGCCGATGCAGGGGACACGGGTTCGTGCCCCGGTCTGGGAGGATCCCACATGCCGCGGAGCGGCTGGGCCCATGAGCCATGGCTGCTGAGCTTGCGCATCCGGAGCCTGTGCTCCGCAACGGGAGAGGCCGCAGCAGTGATGAGGCCCGCGTACCGCAAAAAAAAAAAAAAAAAAAAAAAGGTATAGCATTTTATAATCCTGTCACTCCTCCACAGATTTGATTTAATTTTTATCTTCTCATGAAACTAACATAAAGAAATCAAAGATGGCTGAGACCAGAGACTGAACTAGTTTTCAAACTATTATTTAATCCCCAAAGGCAAAGCTTTGACAAGATAGCAACTTTGTTATACATTCTCTTTCTTTGCTCCCTCAACAGTTATTTATTTTTAACAGTTTTTATTGACATTTGGATTGTGAGGTATGGGGGATGTCAGGTTTAATCTATAAATTCAAAAACTTCTGAAGAAGCAGAAACGTAAACCATGCCTTACAGAGGGTTTCCACTTTGCTTTTGAAAATGTTGCCCTTAATCTATTGCCAGTTAAACTGCAAGTCAAGTGACACTGGTTTCTGTCACCTGTTATCAGTACCTCTTCAAATTAGGAAGATCTAAAGTCAATTTAGATCTTAGAATTATTTACTCCTCCACCCAGAATGACCCTTTTCTCCTTATCTCCAGTGGTTGTGGGCCAGGAAACAGACCCTCTATTTGCCCTGATCTAAGCAGCTCCTGCTTAGAAAGGAAGACGGAAGGAGTGATCTGCTTTTGTACTTGGTAGGGTTGGGGGAGCCCCATGCAGTGAAGCTCTGCCTTGTCATCCTTAGGAAGGAGCAGATTCATTGACCATTAAGAGGAGAAAGGCCAGGTCTCAGGGATTTCTGATCCTCATGGGGTAAGTGATTAAGGTGACTGTATAAACCTATATAAGCTTATAGAAGAGTCCAACTCTGGGCTTGCTTTGAGGTTTTTCTCATTCCTGTGGTTAGGTGAAAAGGTATTCTTTTTACTGAAATTGCTTCAGCCACCTTCCAGATTCTAGGCTAGTTTTATAGTGTCATTTAGGTTTTTGCTTATGTGTCAGTTTGTTTCTTAGAGATAGAATGATGAGGGTCGTTAGGTTTTCAGGTCTGGGCGGTGTGATCTTGGTAATGACTAGAGTGGGCTGCAGGCTAATTTACCGCTTGGATGAAAGCCTCAGATTTCCCCTTAGTGCTATGACCATATTGATGATTTTATCCTGAGTCTTCCCTCTTGTTAATATTTGAATGGACAGGGACAACTTCCGTTTGGATAAAATTTTATATACTTTGTTTAAATAAACCTGTAGGGTAACCCCCTGTGATCCCCACCTCCTAGAATGCACACTTTCTAGAGTCCTCTCCTCCGGAGTGTAGACTGGAACAAGTAACTCGCTTCTAACAAACAGAATGAGGCAAAAGTGTTAGGATATCACTTCTGAAAGTAGGTTACAAAAGACTGTGACTTCTCTCTTTTTTTTTTTTTTTGCGGTACGCGGGCCCCTCACTGCTGTGGCCCCTCCCGTCGCGGAGCACAGGCTCCGGACGCGCAGGCTCAGCCGCTGTGGCCCCTCCCGTCGCGGAGCACAGGCTCCGGACGCGCAGGCTCAGCGGCCATGGCTCACGGCCCCAGCCGCTCCGCGGCATGTGGGATCTTCCTGAACCGGGGCACGAACCCGTGTCCCCTGTACCGGCAGGCCGACTCTCAACCACTGCGCCACCAGGGAAGCCCTGTGACTTCTCCCTTACTCACACTCGCTTTCTGTCAGGAGGTCAGCTGAGCTGGGCAGGGAGAGCTGAGCTGTCGGTGGCGGAGCAGCCGATTAAAGCCATAAGGCGACGGTGAGAGATCACTGCCCGTGAGCGCACAGGCAAGTGTATAGCTGGAGGAAGGGCCCGCTCCCCCTGTCCCATTTTCCCCAGGGAAAGGTGCATTGTCGGGGGTCAGGACCAAGGTGGGGATCTTCTCACTGGGGAGGGAACCCCAAATAAAAGGCTCCAGCGGTGTGATGGCCCCCGAGGTGTGTGTACGTGTGTGAGAGGGGGCCGGGAATGGACTAGTCCTGGCTGCGTAACGGGGGTTCTCACACCTCCCTTTATAAGGGGGTCTCGGCAGAGACACCGGAAGAGGACCTTGGTCCAAGGTCTCAGATAAAATGACTCTGGGATATAAATATGCAAAAGAGCTAGACTGACCAGGGAGGGCCAAGACCTTGACCACAGCTCCCCTCAGACGCTGCCGCGCCCTGCTGTCACCAAGTCTGCTGCGGGGAGGGCAGTGTCCCTGTGAGACCTGCCAGGGAAAGCCCTCGCAATTACCTATGGTCAGGCCTGAAAGATGACACGTGGCAGTGTAACCAGGAGCTGGACTCCTTGCTCCCATTCTCTTTCGCTCTTGCTTATTTGCTCTGATGAGGCCAGACGCCATGTTGTGAGCTGCCCGAGGGGAGACCCACGGCGTGAGGAACAGAGAGTGGCTTCCAGGCAACAGCCAGCATTGAACTGAGGCCCTCGGTCCCGTAGCCCTTGAGAAACTGAATCCTGCCAAGGACTACGTGGGTGAGCTTGGAGGAATTTCCTTTCCCAGCCGAACCTTGAGATGACTGAAGTCTCCGCTGGCACCTTGGCAGTAACCTTGGGGGAGACCTTAGCTGGAGAACCCAGCTAAGCTGGGCCCAGATTCCTGACACTCAGAGACTAGGAGGTAATAGGTGTTTGTTGTTTAGAGCCTCTAAGTCCTGGGGTCTTCTGTTACGTTGTGATCGATAACTAAATATACGTGCTAGCGATCTAGCGACCACATCTTGGGAAAGTGCATGGTCATGAGCCTGTTTCTAATGATTTGATTCCTTTTCTTTGAAAGTGGAGTATAAATATAATGAGATTGTGTTCTTTCCCCAGCAAGGTATAAAGGAAACTGGTATCGAAAAGGAGAAGTGGGAGGACTGGAATTTTATATACTTTATTTAAATAAACCTGTAGGGTAACCCCCTGTGAACTCCCTGGGTGATGCATTCAAATCTAACTTTTCCCTGTCATTTTCCTTTTCTAGTGTGTGAAGGAAAAGTTTTGAAGTTAGTCCGTTCAGTATGCTACAAAAGAATGGCAGGCTAAGCCTTGTTCTTATCCTAAGATACATTTTTATGAATTTATCTGTGCCCTCTATTTATAAGTAATATGAACCGTTAAGAGAGGAGAAAGAAGGGAAATGTGAAAGAACATTCAGCCAAAAAAGACTGATGATAAAAAAGCGGCACTTCAACTAGATACACCGGGAACAGTTCTGCAGGTGACCTTGTACTCCGTGCCTGCAGATGACCTCGCCCTCCATGCCTGCAGATAAACATCTTTGCCTCCAAATCAGCACAGCCAAACCATGCAGTGTTTCACACACGTGTCCTGGAAATGAACACACCGAGTAGTGTTTAATGATCGGTGGAGCCAGACAGATGAGACACGACTGATTTGCATGAACCGTGTCCTGGGTTTCAGAATTGAGGAAGGTTTCATTAAATGACAAGAAGGAAGAACAATGACATTGGGGAAGTAGAGATGACACTTCCTCTTCTTTCGAAAGAGCCTTACGCTCTGGTCAGCCTCTAATGGTCATCCGGTGTAGCCAGAGCCGCCTGAGCTGTGGCCGCTTCCAGTGGAATCCTCAACCTTGGCCTCAGAGTATTATGAATTTTCTGAATTCAGGGATAAAGAGCCAGTGCTTGGATTTACTCTCTTTTTATTGCATGTAAGTAAAACCACTCCTTGGCTGATATATGAAGTCGTTGCTTGGCATCTCAAGATGGTAAAGCAGTGGATACCCTAGTACTCTCTTTAACATAGTGAGTTGTAACTAAGATGTGACTCTTGGGATGTACCGTTTGCTCAGCTCTTCATAAACTTGCTGCTGTCAAGTCCAGTGCTAAAGACACGCTTTAGCTTTGAAGGAGAGAGATGTGTACTCTGCTTTCCTCTGTTTCTTAAGTGGATGTTGTATTGATAGCTGCTGGGACCTCAGACCGTGGCTTTGATTTAGAAAAGCACAATTCAGCATGTGTGTGGGTCCTGAGGAGTTCATTTGGGGAAACACTCTGTGGCCACCCTCTTTTGAGAAGGTGTGTTCTTTGTGGAGAATCCCCCTTTGTATGCAGGCAGCTGGAGGGGATCTTACTTTTAGATAAAATCACAGGCTTGACAAGATATCTCTGTGTGAAAACGAGAACTTATGTGATGTTGGTTCAGAGGTTTTTACCCAGGGCATCTGAAGCATTTGGTTTTCTTTGCTTGTGTATGTGTGAAGGAAATTTAACTGTAAGAGACAGGGTTATAACCCGCCAAGGCATCTTTGACTATGGTAGTGGAATTTATTAGTCTGTAGGGGCCTGTGTGTTCTTAGTACTGTCCTAGGCATTGTATAGTCATACACAGAGTCTGATTCCTCTCCATCTAATTAAAATTTTATGTGGAAATGGAAACAGAAAGAACACAGGTTTCTTTCTGATCACATCATGCAAGTGAGAAGAAAAAGGACTTCAGTTTGTGTATTTCATGGTGTTCTCATTCTTTAATTTATTTTTTAAACGTCCCTTTCCTCTCTTTATATATCAACTGTCTTCTCTGGAGAGGGTCCATGTGTGAACTCTTGCAGGTAAGCTGCATTAAGCAAATACACATCATCTGAGTACGGAAATAGGAAGTTCTTTCCTGCGGTAGCTTGCTGTGGCAATAAGAGATAAGAAATTACTTCATGACTATTGCCTGAGACTTTCCTTTTTACTCTCATATCCTTCTTAAGCAGCTCACTTCTGCTTTCCATCCGGCATGGAGGCCAGGCAATGTGAGCTGGGAACCCAAGCACAGGCTGATAACTTGCAAGCAGGTTGAATAGGGTAAATGGTGTGTGAGAGTGCAGAAAAATCCTTAAAAATAAGCTCTTTGGTATTGAAGAAAATCCTACAAATGGGAGAATTACTGCTCTCTTCAGTGCTCTGGACAGTGCCTGACCCATAAAATTCTCTCAGTCAATGTTTGTTGAATGACTGAATGACTGATTGGGATTGTTCATAAAATGAGTGTGGTGGGGTAGCCTTTGCCCTGTCTCCATTACCCAGGCACATAAGGAACTGCAGGTTGGAAAAGGTCAGAGTGAAGCAGGAGAGGAGGAGAATATGAAGGTGGGAAGAGAAGAAAGCGTATGTAGAAAGGAGATGATAAGAAGCCTTAAAGGTGGCAATATGGTGGTGAAGGTGGAGGTGGAGGAGTGGTAAAGTGGTGGTGATGGAGGTGGTGGTGGAGATACTGGGGCCGGGGGTGGAGGTGATGATGGAGATACTGGAGGTGGTGATAGAGGTGATGGTGGAGGTGGAGTTGGTGGTGGAGGGGACTGTGGAGGTGATAGTGGTAGTGATGGAGGTGATGGAGATAGTAGTGATGGAGGTGATGGAGATACTGCAGGTGGTGATAGAGGTGGTGGCGGAGGTGGAGGTGGAGTTGGTGGTGGAGGGGGGGACTGTGGAGGTGATAGTGGTGGTGATGGAGGTGATGATGGAGATACTGGAGGTGGTGATTGAGGTGATGGCGGAGGTGGAGGTGGAGTTGGTGGAGGGGACTATGGAGGTGACAGTGGTGGTGATGGAGATGGTGGTGGAGATACTGGGGGTGGGGGTGGAGGTGATGGCAGAGGAGGTGGTAGAGGTAGTGATAGAATGGGATTGGAAGTGGTGGTGATACAAGTGGTGGTGGAGGTGGCGGTGGCTGTGGCAGAAGTGGTGAAGTGGAGGTGATGATGGGCGGGCAGTGTGACATAGTCGGGAGAAATAGTTTTGGGATTAGACACAGCTGTTCAAAATCCATATGCACCACTTACTAGCTCTGTGACCTCTGAACCTGCAAAATGGTGACTATAATAAACTGACCTTTTTGTGTTGTTCGATAAGGATTAGAAATACGATTGCACGGTGCCTGCCACCTCGTGGATCTTCACCAAATGGCAGTTACCAATATATTTTCTTCAGTTTTTAAATCGCTATAGCCACACTTACAGATTTAACCACCAATTTATCTTTTCTTCATGTTTTTTGCTGTTTTCTAAATTTCATAAATTGAGTATGATTCTTTTAAAGAATTATTTATTAAAAATAAGTGTTATATACCTAGTTATCAAGATGGTTAAGCACATGGTGGTATATCTATATAAAAATACTATCAGTAAAATGATGTTTATGTCTTATATTAAGGCTAAGTTAACGAAAAGGAGAAACATAACTCTCAGCTATGTAAAAACACTGCAGAGAAGCAGGATTGAGGTAAATATGTTAAAACGTGAACATACAATTAAGTTGGTTTATAGCTGACAGTTATATTTGTCTTCGTGCTTTTCTATTTTTTTTCAAAATTTTCGTTAGTGGAGCATATTGAGACTGCCTTAAAAATCTGAAAACAAAATAAACGTTGAATTAAAATAAATAAGCAAAATTTTAACTCTCTTAACCTTCCACCAAAAGTGAAACAAAAGTAGTGTTTTAGTTACAGTGTGCTGAAGTTTGTGGTTCATTGCGATGGATGAAATAACGCGATGTATGTTATTTAATTTTCATGGGGGGGGTCTCCTTTGAGATTAAGACTGGTGCAGAATCGTGTGACAGTTCTAAAGTCAGAACAGTGAAAAAGGTCCCCTCTGGGGCTGACTGGTCTACTTACTTCCTAGAATCACATGAAAAAGGGCAATTTTGTCTATATGATTTACAACTGCCTCTAAACCTGTATTGGGTGCTTTTCTAGCACGTTCAACGTCAATTTGATAGTTCTAAATTAAGTTTAGATTTGCCACCATAAGAGTAATTAGTTTTTAAGGGAATGTTGACTTGTGTTTTTCATCTTGGTGTACCTGGGGAGAAATCAGAAAAATATTTTTGTGCAGTAAGAAATATTTCTTGTTAGGATCTCGGCCATCCCACCTCCCAGTGCTGGCCTGTCACTGTGGAGGAGGCCCTTATCAGAGACTTAACCGAAATCAAGTATTTTGGCTTATAGGTATTGGAATAAATCTCCTGTCCTTGACTTAGAAATGATCGAGTGAGAGATAATTGGCAGACAGAGAGGCAAAAAAGTGAACAAAGGTGAGCAAAAGACAGATTTCCTAAACTGACACGGGTGTTGAAATAGGAGGACTTGAAAGGTGAACAGTTAGCCAGTTTAAACTCACCCCAAAATTACTAGAGTGTGGATGAACTCTTAAAAAAATTCTGAATAAAAAATGACCAGATCTTCAGTGAGAACTGAAATTTAGATTAGAGATGAAAGAATTAATCAAACAGACAATGGACCTCATGACCAGTTGTAAAAGCCAGAAAACCCAGTACGGAATATGATTTGAACTAGAGGCAGCAGCATGGTAGACTTTGGAACAGTTGGTCCATAGCATTTGCTGAGTATTTCATGTGTGGAGCATTGAATACAAACCAATGATATTATTGAACACTTGCCATATTCAGGGCACTGTAATCAAGACTTTCATTTTTACACGAACACTGGTCAAAGCAATCACTTTTCAAAACAATCCTGGGAAATAGCACTACTGTTATCTCCACGAAGCTGAAGTTTCGAGAGGTAAAGTACCCTAAAACCACTCCGCTAGGCAGGGGCAGACATAGGATTCAAACCCAGATCTTTGTTTGTCTCTGAGCCTGTGGCCTAACTACCATTGTACATGACACTACGTTGATTTCATTTGCATTAAAGATTTTCTTATACAGGATAGTTATCTGAGGCCAAGAATTGGGAGACCAAGGGGGAGTATGAACAGATCCATGCTCTACTTTGAAATCTCCTTAAGGGACATTCCTTTCCATTTCTTGGTTGAAGAGGTTGGAAAGGAATTTTTCTTTTCTTTTCAGGGAGCTGCCTGTGCCCTGACATGACTGCACATATGTGGTTGTCAATGTAGCTGCTTCTTAGGCAGCCCTGAAGTATTATGTAAGGAACCAGCAGGAACCAAAGGGGTCTGGAGAGCCAGGGGGGTTCCATGGCTTTCAGAGCCATCCCTGGTTAGTCCACAACCTTAGTCAAGATATATAACATTCTCCCTTCACAAGGGTCCCTCCTGTTGCCCTTTTATAACAACATCCTATTTAATTTGAAAACATCCAGTGCCTTTCTTGAGTGTCACCGCACCCTTAGTGGTAATGCTACACATTAGGCTCTATTTATTAGTGGGAGCAGCACAGATGGAGGGGTTAGGAGGCCTGAGTGCCCTGCCTGTGGCATATAAAGGTTATATGCTATCAAGCAAGGCCTTTAACTTCTCCGTGCTTCAGTTTTCTCATCCATAAAAGCTGAGATAAAAATACCTAACCAGTCTGTTTTGTTGTGTGGACCAAATGCAATTAAGTGGAAACGCTTTGAAGAAAGTAAAAACGTTATAAACCAATGGGGCCTTCTGTCTTGGCTCGGATTTTATTTTCTTACCATGTAGAGACTCAGTTGACATGCAAGAGCTTTGTTGGCATAAGAGGATTAGGTGAAAGGTAGTAGGGGGTGTTATGGGTTAAACTGTGCCTCCTCCCCCCCCCAAGAAAAAGTATGCTGAAGTCCTAACCACCAGTACTTCAGAGTGTGACCATATTTGGAAATGGAGGTGTTGTGGATGTGATTAAATTAAGGTTAATGATCCAATGAGACTGATGTCCTTATAAGAAGAAAGCCCTGTGAAGACAGAGATACCCAGGGAGAAGACCATGTGATGTGGAGAACAGAGACTGGAGTGATGCAGCTGTAGGTCAATGGACACCAAGGAATCGCCGGCCCTCCAGATGCCTGGGAAAAGTCAAGGAGGGATTCTCCCCTATGGGTTTCAGAGGGAGCATGGCCCTGACAACACCTTGATTTCAGATTTCTGGTCTCCAGAGCTATGAGAGAGTACATTTCTGTTGTTTTAAGCCACTCAACTTGTGGTCTTTTGTTACTATAGCCCTAGGAAACGAATACAGGGACTAAAGAATAAAAGCCATTGTAAATGCTAGTAATAAACTGATCTAATTGCTGGCAAGCACTTCTAGGGACCAAATCCAATATGACTCATTTCTCTGACTTTAACCTGTGGCATTGGGCCTCAGACAGTAGATTTACTACATCATTGAATGGGAATGAACACAGACACTAAACAATGGAACACATTTACAAAATGGAAATCAGGCTATGGTGAAATCTATAAAAGGGCGTTCTTTCATAAATTGAGTCTAGCTGGGGATTTCAGACTATTATACTGATGTGGTCATTTACTAGACATGGAACAGTAGTGTCTCTTTGGGAGGATATTTACTTCTCCAAGTTGTATAGTGAAAGAAAAGTTCAAATATTTGGAATTGGAAAATGATGTAATGTGATAGCACTTTGGTCCAAACATAAAACCTAAGGCTCCGATCTAAACCTATAGCAAATGGAAACTCCCCAATTAATGGATGTTGGGTCATTTTAGTGGTTTCATCTATAATTGTTGATCCCTTTGTTACATAAAGTTAGTTTGGTACCTGCATGGCTATTTTAATGACAGCGTAAATAGCCAGGATTTCAAGCATATTCTGTGTTTCTCTGCAACATAAGAATCCCTTACTTTCTCTTTTCAGTCGAGTTTAAATTACTCTAATTCCTATTACCATAATTATCCCTAGCAGAGCAACATTCTTTTAGCAGGAAAACATCATTGTAAGAGGCTAATTCATTTAATCTACTCAAAACTAAAAATATCTTTTTGCTCCTCCCCTTCATTGATTTATATTCAATTTTCTTTAGACTTGTTACTAATTTTATATAATTTCTTTCAAAATGCTCAGTGGAAAGTTGTGACTGGTTAGATTCTTTCACATTTGAACAAGGTAGAATTTCCTTATTTTCCTGACTTTCACGAAAGGAAATACTTCCTTAGGAGTCTTGTGTAGTAACCTCTAATAGCACATAGGACGAGAACATTTAACCATTTATAGGCAAATTTATATATTGATACCAAACACTGGTCTAAAATAGGAAAATACAAGACGTCTCAGAAAAAAGGAAAGAAATGGAGCTGACTCAAAATTCTTTCCAGGAGTCTCAATTTAACATTATCCACTCCTACAGGATATAATTCGTTATAAGGTGTCAGGACCCAGCCAGAAGACACTTGGCCGCACTTATACTAAGTCACATTTTAAGGAAGAAACCTTTAATTCTTTTCAAAAACTGAGAAAATGGCTGCAGATGTGAAAACCATACTTTTCAGGCTACTTGTTTATGATTATTCTGTTTGGATAGCTCAGAGTATAACACAATATGGGGGAAGTTTGCACTATTTTTCTGGTCTGATGACCACATGTTTGTTGTCTCATTAATTTCTTGAACGTGTTGAAGATTCTGCTAGTTTAGCAAACTAATGGTCGCAACAGGAACATTTTATTAATTCACTTGAAGTACAGGTCAGTTATAACAACTTTGTTCTTTCCACCTGTTAAAAGCCTGAAGCAAATTATGCTAAAGGCCTTATTTGCTGGTTCCTTATTGAACCATAAATCCCAACCTCCCTTACGATCCTGACAAATAGGCAAAGAATTGTTCTCACTCGTGAGTGTGAATATTAATCATACAGTAGGATGAATACCCACTATTGAACATTTAATAGTCACCAAATGCCTATTGGATACCTCATGTTTTCCATGTGTTTTATTGTAAGAGAACAGACAAGATCACCTTTTAAGTTCCCTTATAATCGTGTGAATTAACACTGCCTTTTCTTGGTTAGATTCAGTTACAGCCATTCTGTCAAAGAGAAGGCTCTGAACTTGAGCTCTCTTGGTGAAATATGTCCAGGGTTTTCCAGCTAGAGCTGGATTTCACCCTGGAGGCTACCAAGCTCTCCTGCACTTGAATTTTCAACTTGATTAATCAGCTGGAGCCCTTTTGCGTAGGTAACAGGGACTTAGAGGGAGTTGTCGAGCAAGGTTTGAGGTAGGCACTAGAGCGCAATTGTTTTATTTTGTAGACGCTCATCAACATTCCAAAGTGATGTACAAATCAGTTGCCTTGAGAGGAACGCCAGACCCCTAGCTCTTCTGGGCCCAGAAGCCAGCGCGAGATGAGAGACCCCAGAGCATTCATCAAAGCAGAGTAAGTGACCAGAGCGTGATAGGTTTGGCTATTTCTTCCGAAGTGACTTTGCTTTTCACTTTGGTGTTCCCAGTAACAGCAGAGTCCTAGACTCAGGGTCATTTCCACTTTGCATTAAATACTTTGTGAGCTCTGCACTGGGAGCAAATTAGCAAGATTCTCTTCTCAATCCTGAATTGAGTTCAGACACTGAGCATTGCTGCCTGCCCCCCACAGCCTCATGTTTCTTACCAAGGACGTGCACCTTTTACCAAGGACGTGCACCTTTTGCCAGTGGATGGAGGCCCCTGGCCAGTGAGATGTTCTCTATATTGCTTGGAACTTTCTGGGCAGTGAGCACCACTGAGGCAAGCCTTTGAATGAAGGCAGAAAACAGCATTCAAGAGGGCTCCTTGTTTACGATTGTAGTTTCTCAAACAGGCTGCATTTGTTTCCATGTGCCCAGCGGCTGTATGTCTTGTGTAGTCAGTGCTACTGTTATTGCTAAGAGTTAACGTGTACTGTCCACTTGCTGTCTGCCAGGGAAGGGGTTAAAGTCTGTATATTCATTGTCTAATTTTCTTAACCAAATGACTCTAGGAAGCGCTGTTATTAACTAGCTTCCCTTTTCCTGATGAAGAAACAGGCTCAGAGAGGTTAAGAACCTGGCTCAAGGTCACACAGTAAGTGGTATAGTCAGGATCCCAACCTCAACAATTTGCTTCTGGAGTCAGAAGTTGAACTGGGTCTGCTGGACCTGAGAGTCCAGTAACATATGGCCGCTTTGAGGGCAGAGGGAAAAGGATGCCACGTGATTTCTTATTTTTAGATAAGGCTGCTTTGTGCTTGTTCACCTTTCCATTCATTCCCCAGGCTGGGAATGTATGTAATCTGACCCCATTTGGGCCAGAGGAAATGTGTTTGGGTGAAGAATATAATGCTAAGAGTGCTTGTCACAGATTCACCTGAGCCTTAAGGAAAATCTCCTTCCTAAAGACATTTCCAGATCACAGCTGAGGAGGCTTGGGACAAAGAGACAGGACATTTGCTTCTAAGAATTCAGAATGAAAAGGGGAAGAAAAGTGGATATTAAAAGTTAGGAAGGCAGGATTTTGAGAAGATGTGTTTGAATAGTTTCCATTCATGATTTCTATTTATTATAAGACCAGGAAAAGTTCTTCAGAAAAAGAAAAGGTTAGTAAATAGCAAATTAGATAAAAGGAGAGGAAAGAAGGAGCTCTTTAGGCAAGTACTTTGCATTCAACCTCGTACTAAATTTATGTTATCAACTATCTTGCTATTTACTTCTTAAGTTTTTAAAATAATTTTTTTTTCTGTAGCACACATGTAATGTATGTTTATTGCCAAAAATGCACATACACAAGATAAATATTTCCCATGATCCTACCATATTGAACTAATCATAGCTAATATTTTGGTGCAAAAACTTCAATATTTTGTCTTTTTTCTTTATATATGAGTGTATTTGACAAAAATGAGATAAAACTGTACTCTGACATATTAAAATCATATTCCTATCACATTACATATTTTAGATATAATAATTTACCAAATAAGAGTGCAGTTACCAAACTTTTTGAATGGGTCATGATGGATAAGTGAAGAGCTTTTTCTTCATAATAACTGACCATAGAAAAGTTCAGGTATTGAGAATTTGCAAATACTGCAAAGAAGTGGCAAGTTTAACAAGTTTTAATCCCAAAAGTGGCTAGTTGTCATATAAAACAAAACAGAAAATAACAAGAGAGCAAAATGCGGTAGAGGGAAGACCCCAGCATGAATCTGAATAGGCAAGTTTTGGGGTGTCATAGCAGGTGGCAGCGGCTGTCTTTTGGAAAGAGGGTTTTCCTCGGCTGACTTGTCTTTTTGCAATCTTGTTGTGGTGTCTGGTGGTCCTGAAGACTGGTGTAGGACCCTAGTCTCCATGTGTTTTTAAGTCTGTCACCATCATCACTCATATGAATTTTTGAGTTACTTGGCCACAAATGGTATTGGAAAATTATTTCTTAAACATAGAAATTCTCTTATGGTCCCTGAGAAATTCACCAAAAATTTGTTGAGAATTTTCTGTGTATCAGGCATTGTGGAAAATATAAACAAAATATTTTTTAAAAGTTAGGCCCTAGAATATCTTACTAATTTACTGGGGCAACAAAACTAACACGAGACATTAAACGAAAAGACGAAAGTGATACATGAGTGTCATAATGAACAGTGTAGAGAGTACTGTAAAAGTTAGAGAATGAACCAGGAGAATTTAATGGTGGAGGAAGAAGTTGAGCAGGATATGAAAGGAAGGGTAAGTTTCAGGCGGATGGAAAGAAGAGAGATGACCACGGAGTCAGGGGGAAAAAATACAAACAGAGCTTTTCCCCTGGAGCCAAGACAAGATGGCGCTCATGCTGCTGTATATCAGGCAGCTACATAATGGGAAGAATCTTGGACCCCAAGCCACATGCTTTGTTCTGCCAGTTGCTATGTCGGTGAACTTTGGGTTGTAACTTTTTCATGTCTCAGTTTCTCCATTTGTGAAATGGGTAGCATCATATGGCTACATGCCTCAAAGAGTTATTGGGGTCTTGCACGAGATGATGTATATACACATGCTGTAAGTGTCACTTGTGATGGTGATTTACTGGAAATACAGACAGAAGAAGAAAACAAAAGGACAATAAAGTAGTTGTAACATACCCCAAGCCAAAGTTGAGTGTTTTGAAGACAGAGGGAGTATATCATTGGGTCAAACGTAGCAAGAGCAAAGGGGAAGTCAGAGGGTTGATAGGTTGATGGCATTGATAATTCCCCTCTGGAGACATGGAGAAATGAGGGGAAATGAGAAGATGAGGAGGAAAGTGGTTGATGGGGAAATGGAGTGCTTTGGAGAAAGTTTGATGATAAGGATGGGTTTTCATACATTTGTATTTTTTCTAATAAAACGGTACTTTCTTGAGTATTGTGGGCAATGCATCATGTCAAATCTTTTAATATGTTCTTCCCACTAATTGAATGAGAGGAAAAGGAAATTTCTTCTTTTCTCCTTATTTCACTTATTTTCCCTTTGTATCCCTAGAAGCATGACACACTTCTCAACAAATAGTTGAAATAGTTTTGAAAAAATATTTTCATCAATCCAAGTGGGTAGTAGTTAGATCTTGGGCAGCAGTTCTAGGCTTATGCATCACACTTCTCTTTTTAAATCAAGTCATAGAGCTATTATAAATTATTAAGGCTAAATATTGTATAATTAACTCATAATGAGTTATAACCATGAGAATCAGATAAAGCATGAATGATTCCATACAATCCATAAAGGTACATTTCAACGTTTGTGCTTGTGTCATTCCTTTATTAAATATTTAATAGATTTTGACAATTAATGTCATCTTCCTTGTGCATTGAACCTTCTGGTGGACACAAAGCAAAAACCAAAAGATGTGTAGCAAGTAGGAGAAGAAAAAACAGAGAGGTTGGAGAATTCACACACTCTATAAGAGGCTCCTGAACTGACTTAATCTGGCAAATTGCCTGCCTATTTTTGTTCATTATACTCTATTCACACTGCTCTTATGGTCAAATCTAGGGCCTTTCTCAGCTCTCATCCTCTTGGATTCAGCATCTATAGACTTCAAGACTCACGTAGACCTTGTCTGCCTTAAGGACATATACTCCATCTCTCAGATTTCTCCTTAAGCCATTCAACTATAGCATCTTATTTGATTTACGTCTTGGTTCCCTGTCTTGTTATCTGTGGAGGTTCTCGGGAAGTTCTCTGATCTCAATTCTCTTCAACTATTATTCCACAATATTATTTGAAACCCCCACCTTTCCAGTCTTGATCCAACTCTGGTTCCCCACTCAGTTTCCTCTTACTAGCAGGGTTTTTTGCTCATATGCACTGGCGTTGTTGCAACTCACATATGTTTAGAATTGAACTATTGCCCTATATTCTCTGGTTGTTCTCCTTATACTCTCCAGAGTATACAGAGAGTTCTTGGAGAGTTTCTTGGCGAGTCGAGCAAAACAAATGAACTTGGGTATAATTTTAGAAAATCATAAGCTCTCTTACTCCCTCATTTAAGGGTTCATTTTGCTTTATCCAGTCACACTTGCATTGATATTGTCTACTTGTTCCAGGGTCAAGGTAGCTTTGTTGTCTAATACTTCTCTCCCTAGATGACCTAGTCATTCGGGGAAGAAAAGTTGTCTTCTTTTTCCCTACCTGTTCACCCCAATCAATAGCCCCCAGGGAATCTTGGTTGTGGCCAAATCTCTTTTCTCTACCTCTACCCCCAGGTTTCTGTACCTCTTCTTCACGATTACCTGGGCATGTTGGACTAATCCCTCCGCTGAGCCCTATCCTTTGCCTTCCCTCTCAGCATGTGTCCTGTTCCCTGGTGTAAAGCAGAGATTCTCTGATTCTTTTTCTTACTTGAATGTCTTACATGGTCCAGGACTTTGAGTAAGTATGACAAAGACTTGGGTTTAGCACTCTTTTCATTATGCAGTCATTTCCACTGAAAGCCTGCTTTCTGTTCTCCTGGAGAGCCTAGAGAAGTTTCATGTATTGACATTTCAGTGTCTATATTTTCCGAGTGGGCAAATAGAAAGCTGTTTACTCAAAAGTTTTCTGTTTTTCTAGCCTTTGTCTGTTTTTGTCTTATTCTTTGGGAAGGAGACCTCCCTCTAAATCCTGAATGCCTGTTTGTGTGGAGCCTCTGAGCTATGACTGCTTTACAATCCCCCGAAAATGTGCGTTTGTGCACGTTTTCTTAGACTGACTTTTGCTGTCTGTGTGCAGGGCAGATAGTAACGCCCCCATGGAAGAAACCGAGGCTCAGAATGGTGAAATGACTTGTCCAAGGTTGTAGTACTAATGAATGGCTGATCTGAGGCTCGACTCTAGTTTGCTGTTTCCTACAGGAGGTTTCCCGCTCTGGAGCATTCTATTGCCTGACCTTTATCAGTGAGCGGTCTCTACTGATTTATCATCTAGGTAAAGT